AGGCTGACCGACATAAACATCTATAACACATAACTGCCCCAAACCACACCCCGCCCACAACCGTTTTACCTCAACCACCATTACACAAACCACCGAAACCCCCCCTTTCTACCCAACCCCCAACCCTTCCACCCCTGAAATTAAATCCCCCCCCCCCTTTCACAACGTTAAAAAAGGCCCCACACCATACCGGTACCCTGCTAAAAAAAGCCGGGTCCCAGCGCTTCCTTATTTCCCGTTTATAACACAACTTTCTATAAAGGGGTCGCCCCCAAACCCCCTTTGCGCACCCCCCAATCCCCATTCCCTCTCCCCCAGGTAAAAAAACAAAATCCGAATTAATACTGATTGCACCTCACAGGCGCCTCGAGCCTCCCAGCCAAACTTAAATGCCCTCAATACAACCCCCCCCCCTCCCACGTCCTCAGAACCTTACCTATCCTTCCCAAACCCCCAAATTACACAAAAATACACTCTGAAACGCCTTCCCCCCCTCATCCCCGCACACCCCCCAGGCCCCTCCACCATCAACCCCTTTTTCCTTTAAGTGCAGCACCCAAGGGCACATCCGGAGAAAAGGGAAAAATACCTCGCACTTTTGGACACCCCATAAACCGAAACTCTCCCATATCCCCTTCCACGCTACATAGGTAGATCTCCAGCTTCCGACTACCACGATTTTAAAACACCCTAAAACACCCAGCAAACTTATTAGGGTCCGTACTGCACAAGCCCGCAAACACGTCTTCAACACCCTTTCATCTCCGACCCTCCCCCCACATTCCACCTTTTCAGCAGCCATTCACGCCCCCCTTGCTGACCCCCACGGGCATAACCCCCATTTCAAAAGATACACTTTCTTTTAACCGAAATCAATCAACCCCAAACCCCCTCTTTTAAAACCCGTTAAAGTCCCAAACCTCCACCAACCATCACACCAAAACCCCAAAGAAAAGGGAAAACCCCCTTTAACACCTCGACATCCGACCTGCAACGATATACCGCGCCCGTGCCAGACTTACTGTAAAAACAACACATTCAAAAAAATCGCCCCTGTTACTGTCAAAGGGTGGTCTCACCCACCAATCCCCCACCCTCATCCACAGCAACCCAAATTAACCCCTCACCTCCTCGCACTACCATATCCCTTTTCCCACCCCTTTTTATCCGTCCACCAATCCAAGTACATTCCCCCCCAACCACTCTTCCCCCCCAATCTCCTAAGACCAGTAATTTGATTTTTCCCATAACTCTTTTAAAACCGGGAAAAAACCCCCGAAATTAACAATAACTCTCCAACCGCATAACTCCTCACATTTTCACGAGTATTTTGTTCATCCACTCCCATTTTCCCCTCTCCACTTCCTACTCCCCAATCCACCTCCATACATGCTCCCACCTTTCTATAGAAAGGGTCTGTTAAACAGGCAAACAACAATTGAGACAGGGGACAACCCTGCCTAATACCCCAACCCATGGATACCCACTCCCCCAACTTCCCATTTACCTGTACACACACTCCCACACCTGTATACAATGTCTCTGCCCAATGCACCACCTCCTCCCCAAAACCCTGCCTCCTTAATGTGTACCACAACACCTCACGTTCTACACTATCACATGCAGCCTGCCAATCTAACGCTAAGACACCCCCCCCCTGCTCCCCTCCCGACCCTTCCACAAAATTCTTTATAATACTATGCCCGTCATACATCGTCCTCCCAGACACACCATATTGTCCTCTCGCAACCACTCTATCCACCACACACTTCATCCTATTTCCTAAAATTTTTGCAAAAATCTTATAATCAGCACATAGCAATGATATTAACCTAAAGTCCCGCACTGTGTCTTGTCTCTTACCTTTTGGCACTAAAACCACAACCACAGTTCCTTGCAACCTGCCCATCCTCCCCTCCCTTTTCATCGTATTCATTAGTTCTACTAAGAAGGACTTCAACACATTCTAATGGCTCACATAAAACTCGCAGGGCAAGCCATCCAGACCTGGTGCCTTACCTCGTGCCATCCCCTCCAAAGCCCTCCACACCTCCCCTTCTTCAATATCCCCCCCAATGCCATGCAATCACTGCCACTTAGCACACAAGATACATTCTCCCCCAACCTCCCGAAAGCCTCCACATCCACCCCGACACTCAGTAAATTTTTGCCAAACCACCTATCCACGTAATCACTCATTGCCTCCGTTGTTCTTAACTCATGTCCCGCCCTATATCCACCTAAATCCTCATGTACCACCAGCCTATCAATTTCCATAGCCAAACAGCGCTGCCTCTGTCCCCATAACACACAGGCCGATGGGCAGTCACCCCACACCGCCTCTTCAATTCCACCCTGCACTCTCACCGCATCAAATCTGTCATTCTGCAAATCTCGAATCCTCCCTTTTAACAACTCGATTTCCTCCATGGGATACTGCCCTGCCTGCACGCCCCTCTCATAACAACTTTGCAACCTACCCTCGAAATACTGCTGCAACCCATACGTCATCCAACCCTGGTACTTTCCCCATCGCACATAAAACCGCCGGATCCTCTTCTTAGCTACCCCATCCCACCACCCCAGCAAGTCACCCACATCCCTACCCTCTCCCCACAAATTCTCCCACATTGTCCTAAAATCTAACCCCACCTCCTCCACCCCAAGAAGTCTCACATTTAACTTCCAATACCCTGGATACCTCTTAGGTAAGCTGGCCCAAGTCAAGTCCGTATAAACAGCT